ATGGAATACTACATGGCAATGAGAAAGAATGAAATCTGGCCATGTGTAGCAACATGGATCAAACTAGAGGGTGTTATGCTGAGCGAAATAAGTCAGGCAGAGAAGGACAGATAGGAGGATTAGGAGGAACTTAACGGAGGACCGTGGGAGAGAAGAAGGGGGGAAATGGTGGGGGAAAGGGAGAGAGGCAAACCATGAGAGACTCTTGAATGCTGAGAACAAAGTGAGGACTCATGGGTGTGGGGGAGGAGGGGGGAGATGGGCATGGAGGAGGGCACTTGTGGGGATGAGCACTGGGTGTTATATGGAAACCAACTTGACAATAAACTATTTGTAAATAAAAAAATAAAAATAAAAAGTGAGAACTTAGAAGTTGAACAAGATTGGGGTGCCTGGGTGGCTCAGTTGGTTAAGCATCCAACTTTGGCTCAGGTCATGATCTCACATCTTGTGGGTTCAAGCCCCGTGTCAGGCTCTGTGCTGACAGCTAGCTCAGAACCTGGAGACTGCTTCAGATTCTGTGTTTCCCTCTCTCTCTGCCCATCCCCTGCTCACGCTGTCTCTATCTCTCCCTCAAAATAAATTAAAACATTAAAAATTTTTTAAAAGAAGTTGAACAAGGTTTAAATCAATAATTAAGTAGCATTAGAGAGGTAAATTAAGTCAAATATGTAAAAATGGTTTTAAAAATCTTGAGTATATTAGCTAAAATTTGGATGTACACATGTTCTATTGTCCACCAATTCTATCCTTAGGTGTGTACCAAACAGAAGCACATGCATATGTTCTTCATTAGACACACACATGGTTGTTCATTCTTAATAGTTACTATTCTAAGTAGTTAGAAACTATCGTAAAGTCCATTATCAGTAGAATGGATAAATACAGTTAGGTATATTCACACAATAGGATTCTAACAATCTTAAAGTGAACTAAAATTACACACAACATGAATGAATTCAGAAATATGTTGAGTGAAAAAAAGCCAAAAACAAAAGAATATATACTGTATGATTCCATTTGTAAAAGTTCAACCAACAGGCCAAACTCAGCTAGGATGGTAGAATCTGGAGAGAGGCTCCTCACCTGTAACATGGAAGTGAGAGTTTCCATTTCATAGGATTGTTGCAACCAAATGAGAAAGTGAGGAGAGAAGGCCCATGCCAGGCACCCACTGAGCCTCAATGACATTAGACTTGCAGAACTGGATACTCCAGGCTTTTTTCTTTCATGAAAATTTCCCCACATTTAACACTGCACCTCTACTCTCCCTTCTCCCTGAAGCCTGTCAAGTGAATTTGAAGTTCTAGTTTGTGTGTTAACTCTCCCCCATTGGAAATATTCTCTCAAGTTGCCATTATGAGTGTGCTGGTAGGTATGGTCCCTGAGGAAGTTCTCAGCCCACATCTGCTCCCCATTTCTGGTCCAGTGTGCACCTTCTCTACTCAACTATGAGTCACATGAGGGAAGACACCATAGGTCTCATTCCACTAGCAAAGAAGACATGGGAGGCTCAGGAACTCTCTGTGAAGGAAAGAGTTTACACAGCCAGCCAAGACTGCTGCCCTTGGAAAGGCCACTTGTAAAGTTGGCCTTGGTTGGAGTGTGGGAACCTGGATGGTAAACAGTTCCCTACACTGATATAAACTTTTCCCAAGTGATTAGAGGACCTCATTGTGTCTACACTGTTTGTACAATGTGATTTGTGCCAGACACCTGTTTTTCTTCTGGGCGTCTGAAGTTTGGACACATGCTAGGCAGAGGTTCCCTATGTGTGCATCTCCATGGAAAACCTGTGGCACTGAGTCTCTGATGAGCTTCCCTGGGAAATGCATTTCATACATGTTATCACAACCCACTGCTGGGGAACTAAATGCACCCATGTGATTGCACCAGGAGAGGACTCTGAAAACCTGCATCTAGTTCCCCAAAACTTCTCCCCATCAGTCTTTTCCCTCTGCTGGTTTTGTCTTGTGTCCTTTCACTGTAATAAGTCATAGCTGTGAGTACAACTGTGTGCTGTGTCCTGGGAGTCCTCCTACTGAGTTACTGGACTAGTGAACTTGGGGACCCCAGCCACACTCACAAAGATGTGTAAGTCAAAGAGTGTGGGGAAGAAACTGAGTTCCTGCAAGCTCAGGCCAGAGGTCAGGATGTGCCTGAATCATAACAAGCCTCAGAGATACATGCCAAAGTAGAAAAACTGAGTTTCTTCCAAAGAGTGAACAGCCTTCTGTTCAAATTGTACCAGCCCCCTAAGGGCCACTGAACATGTTCATGAGTGAGTGTGAGTGTGTGGGCATATGAGTGTGGTGTGTGAGACTGCATATGTGTGAATGTGTCTGTGTATGCGTGCATTGTGAGTGCACATGGATGTATATAAGTGTGTGCAAGTGTGAGTGGTTCCTGCTGAGAGGGAATGAGGCCCTTCAGAAGTCTAATAGAAACTGCACACTGTGGCCATCAAAGATCTTTGCACCAATACATTCAAGCCTCCAGACAGGAGTTGTTCCAGAGTTGGTAGTAGTTCATCCAAGGCACAGTGTACACCAAAAAATCACAAATGAAACTCTGTGGAAGGAGAAAGAAAACCACTTTTTGAAAGTGAATAAAAAGCTTCTGCCCCTGCCCCAGGCCGTTATCTGGGGAGTCTGGACCAGTCACTGTGTCTGCACGCTGACCATATGGGTGAGGGAGATCTGCTCACAGTCACTTGGTGGGGCAGCATGGGGCCAGCCTGAACAGGGATGTCACCATGGGTGCCCCCTGACCAGTCACTTGGGACCTGGAACAGGTGTGCCTGGAGCCTGCAGCCCAGGGAACCCAAGGATGAGGCCTGGGCAGGACAGCAGTCTACTTGCACCTGCACTCGGGCACAGAGGACTCCTCATGTCTGCCAGCCTACAGGTGGTATCACCAGGAGGAACTGGGAAAAGGCAGAAAAGATGAGCAGAGTCTGGAAGATAAGAAGAAAACTAGACAATCTTCAGGGACCTGGAGAGTGTGCGTCAAGACCACAGTAAATCTCCAGGGAAGTAAACCACTTCCCCCTGAGGGACAGGATGGGACTAGGAGAGGAGACAGAAGGCCTGTGGCCAACACTGTACCAGCTGCAGGTAAGGAGACTGTCCAATCTTTCTCCCATCTCTGGGCACCTCCAGTGGCATCAGGAGATGCTTGGCCTAGCCCTCACCCTGCCATATCCACACAGCTGAAAAGGTGGTCAATGTCCAATTCCGGTCTACTTTTTAAATTTTTACTTTTCTCCCTCTTATCACAAGGCCCTGCTCAAAGACTGCCACCACACACCTTTTTCAGCTTTTTTTTGTTTTGAATGGGGCATGAGTGGTTCTTTGTGCCATTCCTCTCACATTTGGTCCGGCTAATCTTCACAGTAACCATATACTCCACTCCAGTCGTCAGCTACCGAGAAACAGTGCCACTATTAGTATTGACTCCAAGCATCTAGTTGCTGGTCCTCACCAGGTAAAGCTAGGACAGAGATAAAGCCCCAGGAGTCACAGCCCCTCTTCCCAGAGCTTATCCACCCAAAGCACGGCTCCCTCTTCCCCTCCCAGCTGGAGAACGTGCACTGGCAGCTGAGACCCCTGCCAATCCCCAGCAGATACAGAGCCCTGCCCCTTGCTCTGGGCTGGCTTCACTGCTGCAGCCACAGATGGCTTCTTGCCTGTCTCCCTTGAACCCCCAGGATGAGGGAGGCAAGACATGGAGCTTGGCTACCAGCAGTCTCAGAATGCCTGCCATATCTATACATGTGACCCTCGTAATTCATAGGGGTGCATCTTGTCTCTCAGTTTCATCCATGTTCTCCCTCCCTACTCTCCTTCCCAACCAACCTGAAAGGAAGTTTAGCAACAACAGCTGAAAAACAGAGGCTTAGGAACTGAAATGATTTGGGGTCTTCATTCCCCATCTACTAACACTGTGCCCTTGAGCAAATGTCTAGCAGTCTCTGTTTCTTTAACTACAGAATCCAGATAATAATTGTGACTGCTCAAGGAGTTGTTGCCTAGGCTAAAGAGAAGCACGCTAGTCACTGAATGCACAAAGCACATTTTAAAATAATTATGAATTATTAAATGTTTTAGCAAAGTGTGGGGAACATTACTCTGAAGCAGCAATGGAGTTGGGAAAGCAACAGAAGACCGAAGAATTGTGCTTGAGTTCTGGCTTTATCCCACGCCAACTCTATCTCCTTGGCCAAGCCCTGCCACCTCCCTGACTCAGTTTTCTCATCCAGAGAATGGGGAGAATAGTGAATGTGTAAACCATGGAGAACACACACCAGGGTTATTCCTGGATGTTGGTATTTGTCTTTCTGTGCTCATGTTCAAGTGTCAGGCTGTGAGGACTCTAAGGGTAGAGAGGCTGGAAAAGCCCTTTGTCCCAGGGAGGACACACAACCTGAAACTCTAACAAATGCTTTGGTGAGTCATGTTCTCTGTTGGAAATAGCTGGGTCCCTCAAGTCAATGTAGGAGATAGAGAGTTCTCCCTAGGGGAGGGGAGAAGCTCCTGGATGGTCCCTGCTTCCTTGTCCCAGTATTGGGTCAAACCAAAGGAGAAGGGTTGGCATTCTCCCAGGTGGGTGGAAGTGGAGGGAGAGAGTGCCTACACTGACCCTGGAGGAAAGTGCCCTCAGAAAAGCTCAAGGTGGTTGTAGGGGAAGGAGGCCTGAGGGTGGTATTGCCATCGTGGTCCAGCTTCTGCCATTGGAAGAACTTTAGGATGCAGAGTCCAGCTCTCCATCCAGGCATTGGCATCCTGCAGGGCTTTCACACTGACCTTCATCATGTTCCATATGTATGAAAAATCTAAAACACTGACCATGAATTTTACTAACATTGTGGTGTGCAGGGTGTCCAACTTTGGCTTAGGTCATGATCTCATGGTTTGTGAGTTCGAGCCCCATGTTAGGCTCTGTGCTGACAGCTTAGAGCTTGGAGCCTGCTTCAGATTTTATGTCTCCCTCTCTCTCTTTCTCTGCCCCTCTCTTGCTCATGCTCAGTCTCTCTGTCTCTCAGAAAAAAAAATAATGTTAAAAAAATTTAACATTTCAGTGTGCAAAGTGTTTTCTTATTTATTATTAGACTGGACTGCTAGATAATAAGAAGAATCATCATAGTAATATAATTACTTTCACAAATACTGCTTCACTCATTCTTCACCCACTTGCAGGTGAGGAAACTGAGGCCTGGAGAGTATGGATGGGATTTGGTCAAGATCCCACAGTTAGGGTGACCTAGAGTCTGGGTGCAGGCAGCCCACCAGACCCACCTCCTATACTCCTCTGTAAGGTATTAGGACAGACCCAAACATATGGCGAAAGGGCCCCTAACCCAGATCACCACTACCAAGGGACACACGTGTTGTTCTTTCATACATTTGAATGACATTAAAAGTTTGTTCATAAACTATTCGTTTAGAGTTAACTGTTAGTAATAATGGGATGATTCCAAAAGACAGGCCTTCTGGGATTCTTAATTTGGCAAGACCTTTGGTCAACAGCTACCACCTTGTGGCCAAGTCACCTCAGTGTTCTTGGTCCTGATAAGCGCCATCTTGGGGCAAGAGTATGTGACTGAAACAGGGACAGGCTGATGTCCACACACTATGATGTCAGGCCTACTTTGCGTCACACTAACATGCCAGCCCCTCTCTGCTCCCCACCCTTGCCGCTTCCTCCTGTTCCCACTGCCCCTCTCTCTGGCCAGAGACCTTTTCTCCTGTCAATTTTTTTTCCAAATTGGATTAATTGAACTAAAATGTGCTATTGCCTCTGCCCTAACTTATATATAGTTTACCATGTAAACTTGAGGGGCATTTGGACCCACAAAAGTGGTTTTCAAGTAACTTCTTTTTATCCCTAATTCCTGATTAATATATTTCAGAGAAGCTTTGTATGCAAAACATAAAAAGAGAGATGATCTGGTTGAAGCCTATCCCTCACTCCCCCTCTTCCCTCGACCCCAAAAAAACCCTCTGTGCAATTCCAGATTTCTGTAGAATACAGCTAGAAATTCCAGACTTTACAGCCCTTGGACATTGAAAAACTATTGTTCCTATAGAGAACATATATATTTTAACAAAGCAAACCGTTAAAGGAAACAAAATCATCCTCATTTGCTGTCACTCTGGTAAGACTACTTTCAGAATTAAAAGCAATTCTTCCCAAGGAAGAATAGTTGAGAACCTCAGGGACCATCTTTACTTTAGACCAAGAATAACAGAGTTTCATTCCAGTCCTTAGGCTGGCATTTCAACAGCATAGCTAAGGCAGTTCTGGAGTCGAAACAACTGCAAAGCATGCTCATCCTAAGTGAAGCCTCCCCCTACCTTGGTGAAACCATCACTTGGTTCTCTCTGGGAGCCATACCATATCCCTGCATGTCCACGTGGACACTACCCACATCCAGAGAAACCGAGGCACAAACCTGCATCTGACTTCGAAGTAGCTTGTCAACTTGAAATAAGTAGGTGTCATTGCTAGCATTGTTGTAGGTTTCAATGAAGAATTTGAGTGTTGAATTCATGTTTTTCATGCTCATGGACTTCTCCTGGAAGCCTTCCCACCTTTGAAATTGACCCAGCCTGGCTGCCAGGACCAGGGCAGCCAACAGCAACAGAGGATTCCTCCAGCATCCAACTCCCATCTCGCAGCCTTGGAAACCTCCTATCCACTGCACCTGCCAGGGTGGGCTGGGGCTAGACTGTAGCTCACTTACCCTCCTGCAGCTGTCTTCACCAGGTGGGCTTTCCCGGGTTAAACAGAGATTGAGACCCCAACCTCATTCATAATCTGATCAAAGGACCAACCTGTGGGGCACCTGGGTGATTCCGTCAGTTTAGCATTCAATTCTTGACTTTGGCTCAAGTCACGATTTCTCAGTTCATGAGATAGAGCCCCATGAAGGATTCTGTGCTGACAGCATGAAACCTGCTTGGGATTCTCCCCTTCTCTCTGCCTTTCCCCTGCTTGCACACATGCATGTGATCTCTCTCTCTCTCTCTCTCTCTCTCTCTCTCCCAAAATAAACATTAGACAGAGAAAAAGACCAACCGCAAAATCTCCCTAGATGGTTGATCAATTCACTCTCAGGTCCATACATTTTCCACATATTTATGACATCCATTTGGTTCTTCAGTTATTCAGGCAAGCATAGTTTCTAAACACCTTGCCAAGATGAACAAGACTCTCTCCCTGCCTTCACATCTACTGAAGAATAAAGCCCCCAAAACAGAGCCTTACAGTGCTATGCAGTAAGAAACAAATGGAAGTGCCATTTGTGGGAATTGGGGAAGGCTTATAGAGAAGGTAATATTTGAACTGGGATATGAGGAATCAGAGACATGAAACAGAGCATAATACACTCTATTTACCTTCTGTGGGCTCTACTTGTCTAATCTGGCCATCAACTATTTCCTGTGCCTCCTTTAGAGACAAGTTCTCTTTACTAACCTGCTACCTTTCTCACCACAGATTTTGGCTGCTGGATCCCACTGTGCCTGCAGGCCCTGGCACCTAGCTCTTGCTATGTTGGTGTGACCCCAAAAGAGCTTTGTGAGGTAATCCTAGTCTCCCAGTGAGGGAGGAATAAGCCTTGATCCTTATTCACAGATTAATCTTGCAGACCCCTGAAGGTTAGGTGCTGCTTACATCAGACAGGAAAAATTCTCCTCTACCTTCTTTAGGTCTCTGGCTGGACCTTAGAATTAACTAGCAGGAGGAAAACATGCAGGTTTAATTGACCCTTTATATACGCATTATATTCTCTTCAAAAGAGAATGAAGATATGAAGTAGCCAGAGCAAGCTTATATACCCTGTAGACAAAGAAACAATAAATGTGTAAAGAATTAACAAAACAATGGAGTTTAGCCTTTGGATAATAAATGGTGAAGAAGGTTTGTTTATACAGCTTTCTTGGTCCTGAATGCCCTGTCTCCAGAGATAAGGATGTCCTCCATCCTCCTGGTACATGGAGGGTATCTTTCACATGGGAGATTTGTCTCCTGCATTCAAGGAAGAAGGGATGGGGGTGCTGGGGAGGTCAGAGTATCCTTCCTGCTTCGTCATTTTCTCAAACTCCCTTGGTTTACAATCTTGAACGTGCCAAGGTGCCATATTTTAGTGTAGTATGTCCTAAACCCCATCACCTGCACCGAGAAGCCTATAATAGCTCCCCATTTAAAAACTTTTGTTCAGGTGGGATCCTCAATGGGATTCTGAAGAAAAAAAATTAGCAGGACAATTGATGAAATGTGAAGAAAGTCTGTAGATCAGTTCATAGCATTTCACCAATGTTAACTTTCTAGTTTTTACCATTTCATTTTTAGTTTAAAAAGATGTTAACATTTGGGATAGTGGGATGAAATGTATGACAAACATTCATGCAACTTTTGCTGCCTTTTTCTAAGTCTGAAATTATTTCAAAATAAAGGCTAAAATGTTCAAAAATAAATGGGACTTCAGTCTTTGAGAAGCAGCACCACCTAGCACCAACTCTCCTGAGTTCAGATCCCTTGCTGGGTGACTCTAGGAGAGATAGTTAATCTCCAAGTCTGTTTTTTTCATGTATAATATGAGAATGAGAATGGGGAAAACTACTAATCTTGGTTTGTGGTGGAGACTAAATCCATGAAGCAAACAACCTGTTTCCAGGTCAGGCATCAGTCAGTGCTCAGAAACATCCTCTGGGTGATTCTCTTATGATTCTGAACCCACATGCTCAAGCCCATGGTGTGTTGGACACCAACTGCTCCAGAACACAGACCACCCTCTGATGTGAAAATCCTGCTAGAGCTGTTACAACATCCTCCCCTGAGCCTCAGAGCCTGACTTGTAGGACTTGTCCAGCTGAGGGAGGTAGCTGCTTTGGAATACCCTGACCCAGAGCTGTAGGTGTGTCATTGTCAAATAGATACATAAGGGTTCTGAGTAATATGTGTGAGTGTTCAGACCCGGACAAGGGCAGCTTGTCCTGGAAACGATATGCCCATCAGACTGTGGACCTGAGGAAGGAAAAGCAACATTCAGTGAGCCATATTAGAAAATCTAAGAACATAGGGCTAAACACATTAAAAAATTGATCTACTTATAGAAATATGCACCTTGGTTATGTCAATAAAGTAAGAGAAAAATTAGTCCCTAGTAATTTCCATGGAATAAGAAAAAAATACACAGACCCTGGCAATATCGATAGAATAAAACAGAAAATGGGGATTTTATCTGGCATTTCTGGAGTTCTTTGGCTTATAGCAGCATAAATCTAATCTCTGCCAGTCTCCACATGGCCTTCTCTTCTGTACATTTCTTTCAAATCTCTCCCTTCTTTCTCTTAAGAATATCAGTCATTGGATTTGAGGCCTACCCTAAATCCAATGTGATCTCATCTTAAGATGCTTAACTTAATTAGGTCTGCAAAGACTTTATATCCAAATAAGTTCACATTCATGGTACTAAGGGCTAGGATTTGCACATATATTTTTGGGGACCACAGTTCAACCCACTAAAATGTCCACTGAATAAGAGAAAATTGGGAGTATGGATGTGTCCATGTGCATTAGTTTCCCATGGTTTTGTAACAAATTACCACAAACTTGGTAATTTAAAACCACAGAAATGTATTGTCTTACCATTCTGGAGGCCAGAAATTTGAAGTCATTTTCACTAGACCAAAATCAAGGTGTTGGCTGGGCTGAACTCTCTCTAGAGGCTCTGGGGTAAAGTCCACTGGCTGCTGCTATTTCTTGCTTTGTGGCCACATCACCCCAATCTCTACTTCTGTGGGCATATGACCTCCTTCTCTTCGGTCTACCTGCCTTTTGTAAGGAAATATGGATGGCATTTAAGACCCACTTGAAAAATCCCAAGTGATCTGTCCATCTCAAAATCTTGAACTAAGTCACATCTGCAAAGTCCTTCTTTACCACGTAAGACAATCCTCACAAGTTCCCGGGGTTAGGATGTGGGCATCTTACAGTGGGTCATTATTCAGCCCTCCACAGCATGGATTCAGGGAAAGTCAGAGGGGTGATTATTTCCCTGAAAGGATGGAGAACAGAGGCCCTGGTCATGCTCCTGGATAAGGGAAAAAGGGAAAAAAATAAAAACATCCATGGAAATGGAGGGAAATAGGAGGCCTCATCAATTCTATGCTGAATGGAAAGTGAAAAATAGGGGACCTGATAATATGCAGGGGATAAGATGAAGATAGGGATCAATATTATATAAGTGGATTAGAGGAAAAATACAGGAGGATGGATGATTTCCATAGGTTGAGGGGGAAATGGTGGCTTTGGTTATGTCCATGGAATGAAGAGAAAATAGGATTCCAATAATGCTTGTGGTGTAAGGAACAATCAGGGAGTTTGATTAAAATCACAGAATAAAGAGTAAATAAATTGCCTGACTACATCCAGAATAGATCACAAGAAAGGCAACTATATAATGCCCATAAAATGAGGGGGAAATGAAGGATCCTGGACATGTCCGTGGGATACAAGGGGCCTGGAAATGTTCATGAATTAAGATTAAAAAAAACACTGAGCCTGATAAAATCCATGGAAAGGGAAATTATTATGCTTGATTATTTCCATGCAATGAGGAGAAAATACAGTGCTGACTATGTCCCTGTAACACAACAAAGTAGGGAACTTCATTATACCAATAGAATAGGGGGAAAGCAGAGTGCCTTGGCCATATCTACGAAATGAAAGGGAAACAGGCAGTCCCATTGTGTCCATAGAAAAAGAAAATAATTAGAGACCATGACTATGTCTATGTAGTGAGGGGAATATAGAGACCCTGGCCATGCCCATGGAATGTGAGTATGCAAAAGGAGGGAAAACGGGGAACTTGGTATGTACGTGCACAAAGAGGAAAATAGGAAGCCTAATAGTGTCTGTGAAATAGGGAAAGACATGGGGTCTGATTGTTTCCCATGGAATAAAGGGAAAGTAGAATCCTCATATGTCCAGGAATAAGAAGAAAATTGGAAACATGGCCATGTCCATGGAATAAGCAGAAAACATGTGGCCTGGTTAAGTCTATGAAAGTCTATAAGGAAGCAATGGGAGGGGCTGATTATATCCTTTTAATAAGGGGACACAGGGAGCCTGGTCATGTCCAGGGAATTAGGGAAAAGTAGGGTTTCTAGATATTTCCATGGAAAAAGGAAAGGTAGGTAAAAAGGAAAAAACTCAGTTTCCCACCTGGGTAGGGAAAACACCCTCTCTTCCCTATCTATAGTCTTTTTCTCCCATGAGTATTCTTTTCCATCTTGCAAAATATACTTTCTGACATTTCTGGCTGCCAAATACATGTGGGTCTTCCCCAAAAAAGCAATTTTCTCCAAGACTGGCTGGGTGTTCTACAAGTCCACTCTGCCTGTAGACAGCATCGGACCCCACAGGTGAAGGACTCAGTCCTGCAAGATTGCCGCACCATCATCACCACCTTCAGATGCCAGGTGCAAGTTCAAGTTGTCAGCTTATGCTTCTCACCAACTGCCTGTAAATCTGATCTTCCTATGGCCCCCTTTTGGGTTTGATTAATTTGCTAGAGTGACTCATAGAACTCAGGGAAACACTTTTACAAGTTTATTATAAAAGGATATGACATGAGAGACTCTTGAATGCTGAGAAAAAACTGAGGACTGATGCGCGTGGGGGAGGGCACTTATGGGATGAGCACTGGGTGTTATATGGAAACAAATTTGACAATAAACAATTTAAAAAAAAAAGGATATGGCAAAGGATACAGATGAACATCCAGATGGAAAGAAGGTATAAGGCAAAGTATTTGGGAAGGCTTCCATGCCCTGTCCTGGAGGGCAACTTTCTTGGTACCTTCACGTGATGGCCAAACTGGAAGCTCTCCAAACCCTATACTTTATGGATTTTATGGAGACCTCATAATTTAGGCATGATCCATCATTAATTCCATTTTTAGCCCTTCTCCCTTCTCAAGAAAGTGGGGAACAGGGCTAAGAATTCCAAGTTTCTAAACACGGGTTGTTCTGTCTGGTGACCAGCCTCCATCCAAGAACCCATCTAAAATCACCTCATTAGAACAAAAGGCACTCCTATCACCTAGGAAATACAACAATTTCAGGAGCTCTATGCCAGGAACCAGGCTCAAAGACCAAATATTAGAACAAAAGAGGCTCTTAATTCACTTACCACATAGGAAATTACAAGGGTCTCAGGAGTTCTGTGCCAGAACCAGAGGCAGACACCAATATATACTTTTCTATTTTCTATTATAGGAAACTTGATTATTTCCATGAACAACAGGGAGGTACAGGCCCTGGCTCTATGTATGGCCTGGTCATGTCTACTGAACAAGGAGATAATAGAAAACCTATTTACTTTCACTGAATAATAGGAAATTGTGTTGCCTGGTTACAACTGTGAAGGAACAGGAGAACAGGGACTTAATTTTTTCCATGGGATAAAGGTACTTTAGGGGCACCTGAGTGGCTCAGTAGGTTAGGCATCTGACTTGATCTCAGCTCAGGTCTTGATCTCAGGGGTGTGACTTCAAGCCCCACATCAGGCTCTGCGCTGGCAGCACAGAGCCTGATTGAAACCCTCTCTCTCCCTCACTCTCTGCCCCTCCCTCCTTCACTTTGTCTCTGTCTCTCCCAAAATAAACAAGTAAACATTAAAAAATTAATAAAAAAACAAAGCCAAGAAAAGGCTGCCCTTGTCCAGAGTCACAGAGGGGCAAGTATGAGAAGGTTGAGGCCTGTGCCTCAGCACCTCCCACCTTCCTGGGCCCAGGCCAACTTCTCATTTGCTGATGCACCATCCAGAGGAAAGAAGTTAGCCTCATTAGTAGTTGGTGCTTAAGAAAGAATAAGCGTCTTTCCAAGAGCCTGGCAAACCAGGCCTTCTGACTTACAGGATGAACCTGGTAGTAGGGCCACTGCTGGAGCAGTCATAGTGGCAAGTGTATGGGATTTGTCTTCCATGAGCCCACAGCTGTGTGGTATGTGGGTCACATGGTGGGAGTACATGGGGAGCTATCTGTGAGATGCACAACTTCCTGGTTTTGTCTATTGACAACCAGGCTTGGAAATTCTTTGTCAGGCTGCTTCCAGGGAAAAATTAGCAGGAGATAGAGGGAGAATGAGTCTTATCAATGTAGGCAGTAAGGCTCTGTTTGTGTGGGCTCAGGAGTTTGGAAACGGGGAATCTCCTGGCTATGGTTTTTATCCCACTTTTCCATCTTATCTTGTCATTCCTGCCCCTCCACCTCAGATGAACTTCTTAGGCTCCTCCTTGACCCCCAACTCCCTTGGGCTTGCATAGATCACTCATCAGTCTGGTCAAAACATTGCTCATCATGATTTGCTTCTGATTGGAAACCCAAATTGGAGTGCCACTGCTCCCCAAAGCAGGAGGGGACCTGGAGGTCATCTAATAGGTGAGAATTCATGCTCTAGGATGCCAGGTATGTTCCAGGACAGATAGCCGCATAGACCATCCTCTACCCAGCCATCCAGGCTGGTGAGTTCTGTTCTCACTGTGGGGCCTGGGACTGCTGTGAGGGGTCAGAGAGCTGCAGAGCAGAGTCAGATGTGGGGCAGCCCTTCCACTGTTGCTTGGAAGCTGCTTTACCTTCTGAGTCTGTTTCCTCATCTATGAAATTGGTGTAATAGCAAATTCATCAGATTATTGTAAAAGGTACAGAAATGCCTAGCATAGTTCCTGGCACACAGGGCTCAATCATGTTGACTATTTCAAGAAGGAGAAACCTCCTCCAGAAGCCAGAGGGATGAAGCAAGTAGAACTGCCCTGGGGCTCCAGGCTATTTTTTGTGACCTCCCTGCTCTTGCCCTCTCTCCATTCCCATTGCCATTGACATCATAGGCACTGAGAGAAGAATCATGATGTGACAACTCTCAGAAAACAAATATGCCTTTGCAAACAGCAGGGTTGATCTCATTTGAGTTCTTCCACCTTATTTCATTCATTCATTCATCATTCATTCATCATTCATTCATTCATTCATTCATTCAAACACTGTTTGAAAAACTCTTCTTTGTCCTGCTCTCAACTGGCTGCTGGCCTAGATATTGCCCTGGCAAGAAGCAAATCTATCTGAGACCCACCCTGCCACCAGAAACCCTTCAAAGCCAGCCCAGCAAAAAGCAATCTGCCATCCGGGTACCTGCTTGAGTACTCTCCCAAGAGAGGATGAAAGGGAGCGTTGCCCAGGCTATCAGCAACAGCACCCGCTGCAGCCCTGAGCCCCTGAGCCCTCATCCCTGGGGCTGCAGCAGAAGGATGTGACTGACATTGGCTTCAGATGGTCCTGGGGAGCAGGCCAGCACACAGGCGCAGAATGTCAACAATGACAAGGTGGTACTACAGATGGCTCAGAGCTGGCACTGTCCCAAAAGGCTCAGTGTAAATGTACTCTTTCCAGACAAGGAAACCTGAGAAATCATGAGGCTCAGAATGTAAGAGATGTCACAAGGGACAGAACATTCCCACTGTCTCTGTAGGATTCCCATCTGGAGCCCCAGAGTGGCATGGTTTGTTGGCAGGCCATCATCTTTCATGCAGCCTTTGGTCTCATTTCTTTTTCTTCTTCTTCTTTTAAATTTTTTTAAAATTTATTTATTTATTTTGAGAGAGAGAGAGAGTGAGCAGGGGGCGGGCAGGAAGACAGAAGGAGAGACAGAATCTCAAGCAGGGTCTGCACTGTCAGCACAGAGCCTAACACAGGGCCTGAACTCAGAACTGCGAGATCATGACCTGAGCAGAGATCAAGGGATGCTTAACTGACTGAGCCACCCAGGACCCCCACTTTTGTTCTCCTTCCTGTAGCTGTTTTCCCTGGTGCAGCTTTGGTTGACCAGCTCTTTAGCAGGCTATGCAATTTAAATAACCATCACGTCTCATTTTGAAATCAAATAAAAACCATGCAGCCTCTGTAGACTGCTGTGCTTCTGCTTCTGATCTCCTGCTCTCCTGCTGTTTCTCCATGAGCAGCCCACCATCTCCTGATGCAACAAGCAGCAAATGCTGAAGCAGGCCAAAACTTTGTTGTAAACTTCACATCTTCAAGTTCCAGTCCTTTGCCTATCTTTTCTATTTGGTTGTTTGCCTTCCATTGATTTGTAAGATTTATTTATCCTTAGTAATAATTATTTGGAGAGTTATTTGCTGTAAATATCTTTTTCTGGGTTATGGTTTTGTCTTTTCATTTGAGTTATGCTATGCTAGTGAAAAGAAATCCTTATCTTAATGGAGTGAATGTATTGATTTTTTTCTTATGGTTTGCAGTTTTGATGTCTCATTTAGGAAAGCAAGGTCATGAAGTGACTTTCCTGTATTTTCATTTAAAACTCTTAAAAGTTTTCACCTGGAACTCATGTGACATTGTGTGTCAACCATACTTCAATTAAAAAAAACAAGTTAAAAAACCCCAAAAAACAAAACTTCTAAAAGTTTTGAAGTTAAGCATTTCACACTTATGTCCATAACCATTAATATTTTTGAGCATGGTGTGTTTGCTAATATCATGTTCAGAATCTTGTATCCATATTCATGAGTAAGACTGGCCCAAGATTTTCTTTCTCATATGAGCCTTTTATAGTTTGAGTTTCAAGGTTACACCCCATGTAACAAGCTGGGAGTGTGTCAGTCAGGGTCCCCACAGTAAACAGAGGTACACTTGCTATAGGAAGGTTTATTTTGGAGGTACTTACAGTGCTGCAGGTGCAAGGGAATCCACGGCACATGGTTGTCATTTGTTGGAAGATGCAGGGAGGGATCTAGACATCAGGGAGCCTCAGCTGGCCACCCTGAAGAAGGATTGGGAAACAAATGCTGTGATCTTACTTACCTTCTGCCCTCTACCTCATGCTGGGCACCTCATTGGCCTAATGCAACAAAGAGACCAGAAGACACAGGACCCTATCGATGGACTCCCTACAGGTCAGCATCCTGGGACAGAGAGCAGCATAAAGCAGGATATGAGTGGGATGGGGAACAAGGGGGGCAACGTGATCAGACATATGGACATTTCCCTCTGTCTTAATCTTCTAGAAGAGTTGCTAGTCTTTTACTTTTTTGTCTATTCCTTAGGGATTGGGAAAGAGAGATTCCATATCTGGCTTCATTTCATTGTCTTTATCGAGACAGCTTCCCAGCATACATACAGCTAATTTTCATCAATCAAAATAATTATGGTCTATAAAGTCACCATGAACACTGAGTTAACAAATACTGAACCATTGCATTTAAGGAGAGCACAAGTTTGTTTCCTTTGAGTCTCTGGTCATATTTTTTGTCAACCCACTAAGACATAACCTTGTTTTTTTTAAAAAAATATTTTTGCATTTTTTTAAATGTTTTATTTATTTTTGAGATAGTCAGCATGATCAGGGGAGGGTCAGAGAGAGAGGGAGATACAGAATCTGAAGACAGGCTCCAGGCTCTGAGCTAGCTGTCAGCACAGAGCCCAAAGCGGGGCTCGAACCCACGAACCATGAGATCATGACCTGAGCCGAAGTTGGACGCTCAATCGACTGAGCCACCCAGGCACCCCAAGACATAACCTTGTTTTATATGTATTTTATTTAAAGACACTTTGACCTACATCTTGACTCACTAACATTGAAATCATAGCCAACAGCAGTATAACTTGTGCTTGAACAAAACTTATCTAACATATATTTTCTCCCTACGGCACAGCACAGCTTTCTTTTGCTGAAGAAGACAAGACAGCACTCCAGCACATTTCTTGGAAGTTACTTAAAATAGTGAAATCATCAGAAAATTGCAAAAAACGTGGAAACTGTGGCACTAAATAGACCATGAAAAAATACTTATTATAGTATGAAAGCCCAACAAAACAAAACAAAACAAACAAAACACAAAAAAGGCAGTGTTGCTTTGTCCAGCCTGAGCTGAAAAGATGTATATCAAGTCACTCCATTTTTTATTGTTCTGCATATGTCCATAAATGACTATAGAAATGCCATAGTATTGATTTGGGGATTACAAATACATTTTAGCAAATAGGCATATTCGCAAATATAGAAACCATTTGGGACATGTGGGTGGCTCAGTTGTTTAAGCATCTGACTTCAGCTCAGGTCATGATCTCACAATTCATGGGTTTGACCCCTGTGTTGGGCTCTGTGCTGACAGCTCAGAGCCTGGAGGCTGCTTCAGATTCTGTGTCTCCCTCTCTCTCTCTCTCTGCCCCTCCCCTGTTTGGCCTCTCTCTCTCTCTCTTTCTTTCTCTCTCACGCTCTCTCAAAAATAAATAAACAAACATTAAAAAAATTGAAAACAAATATAGAATCCACAAATGCTGAGCATTAACTGTATTTTCAAATGCAGTCACTATGACAGTGCAGAGTAAGACTCAGTTTTTTCAGACTGAATATGAAGAGATGTTAGCACCATACCCTAAATCAGCCTGTGACTGTGTGACCACTGATAGAAATTCCTTCTTCATTTTGGGACAGACCTACTTTGGTAATAGGCAAGTAGGATCAACCCCAAATATGTCACAATAGGAAAGGGTTATATGAAATTTGTGCAATGAACTATTATCCATTAACATTGCAAAGACTGGTAGCAATCTTAAAAATGCTTATGTTTCTTAGACAAAATACAAATACACACTGTAATAATATCTGCATATTTGTAGGTTTAATAAAGATTTGATATGAAACATGTAAATAAAAATGAATAGAAATAAATAGAAAATAATTTTCCTAAAATTTATTTTAATTTTATTTAAATTATTTAAATTTAAGAAGTTTAAATCAATTAAATCAAAATAATAATGTGAAAAGAAATCACACGGTCCAGGAAATAAACCATTTTTCACTGTAAGAGAAATAAACCAGGAAATGGTCCAGGAAATAAAGCATTTTTCTCTGTAAGCCATTGTGCCTGCAGCTCAGAACCATAACTCTGGGAAGAAACATACTGAGCCTAGAGGAGAAAGGTTTTAGAATTTATCATATAAATAAAAGTTGGGTCATCTTTGTTTTTATATACATTTGACATTTTTAAAGTTTCTTTTTTTCTTTTCTTTCTCTTTCTTTCTTTCTTTCTTTCTTTCTTTCTTTCTTTCTTTCTTTCTTTCTTTCTTTCTTTCTGAGCACATGAGCAGGGGAGGGGCAGGGATAGTGAGAGAGAATCCCAAGAAAGCTCTGTGCTATCAGTGCAGAGCCCAACTCAGGGGTGAATCTCACAAACCCTGAGATCACATCCTGACCAGAGATTAAGAGTCAGACACTTAACCGACTGAGCCACCCAGGTACCATTTGCCACCTTTAAAAACATCCAGTTAATTTCAAAATGTGTGTTGGAATTTCCTATCAGTTAATGAAAAGAATAACATTAATTAATGACATTATGTTATTTTTTTCAGAAGTATTTGCTTGAACTTAATTTACCGTTTTCTATGTTTCCTCTAACAGATATTTTGTATATTTAATTTTCCCTTTTCTAATTCTTTGGATTAAATTTTACAGAATATTTTCTTAAGAATATGGTAAATAATATCAACAAAGCTGTCTTCAGGAATATTTGTAGCAATTTCAACATGGCATGAAATGTCTCAAACACACACACATACATACACTACTGTTGTTTTGAAAATTTAAAAAATATAATAAAAAACACTTATCAAATTATCTCCCTGAAGTCCCCCATTCATTGCTTTCAGGTTTTGGGAGTCCATGAGGAAAATGAAAAGAATCACTGTAAATAGAGCAATAAATTCTGTCCGCAAAGCTGCATAACCTCATCAACATGAGTAGAGAACAACCTCATCAACATGAATAGAGAACATTTATTTTCATTAATAATTACTTGGATGCTTTTGGATGAAGAGCTTTCTGGAATGAATTCTTTTCTTACCTGCTTTCTAAAGGAGACCACACTGGAGGAGCCCTGGCCTTGTCCCTTCCAGTGCCTCTGAGCCACTCTTAGACAGAAGTGAGGTTGAGATATCACTGGAGGAGGGAGCTGAAGATGGGTAGAGCCTCTAGGGACTTGAAGGCCCTTGGAGGTGAGGGTCTACTCCCCAGGCTGGGGGTTCTGGCTTCACAGTTTTGACAATGCAACCAGGGTGGGGACTGGCTCCCTTGATTGTAACTCTGGTGGGTTTAACACATCTACAAATCCTTAGAGACCCTTCCCTTGAATATGAGTGACCCTGAGCAATTTGCTTTAGGGAAACAAATGATGTCTTGGTACTTCAGAGATTAAGTCATAAAGGTGATCTAACAACTACCTCCCATCACCTTTGGAGCCCTGGCCACCATGTAAACATTTAGAGAGATACCAGGAGGCTCAGCTGCTCTGGCCTTCATGTCTTCCTATCCCAGACAGTAGGCATTAGCAAAGAGACCTGAGGTGACCCCAGCTCCA